CGACCGATTTCGCTCAAATTTCGCCATTTAAAATTATATACTTTAAAACGATACAAAAAAATTTATACCTTACAAATTCTATTTATTTTTAATGATCATTAAATTAAATAAGAAATATTTACTTAAATTTAGTTATTGCATGGAAATATCTTTTGGCAAATGTATTTTATAACTAATTGTGTGAAAAAATTTAATTCGCTTAAAAATTTCTCGAGATAAGTGGAAATTCGCAGAAAGTAAAATTAACATTAAGGGGTTCAAACAGAACCAAACTATGGGGACCATATTTTGGGGGTCAGAAATCTGAATCCGCTGAAAAAAAGGAATATTTATTCAGAGTGTACTTTTTTGTGTCTGCTTTCGTAACTTAAAATATCGTCCGCGCTAATTAATAAGCATGTTTGAAGCTACCTCCTCGAATAATTAAGAATGTGTCCTAGAACGTGAAGATCCGAGATCATAAGTTACTCAGGGTGTAAAAGTTATTTTTTGGTGTACTGCACAATGAATCAATTTTAATTCACCCATTACTGCTTCTCGGTGAAGTAAATCACACTGGAAAATTTTTTTCAGAGTGATGCTCCTTGCTTCATATGCTCCAATCCCTTGATGAACTTTTCTCTTTGATACTTAATCTGAGGACATCATTTTATTTACAGTCAATACAGCACAGGGTATGATTTTTTTTATTTTTTATTCTATAATGTTGTCCTAAATTTACAAGTTAGATATAATTATTTTATCGGATCCAAGTTCTCTCAATTTTTTTCGTTCTTAAAAGTGTTCTTTAAAAACAAGAGAGCGTTAAAAATGAACGCTTTTTTTGTCGTACGAAGGATACCAAAGAACCATACGGATTTATAATACTGTTCAATTTTGTCTTTGAAAAGATATAAAATAATATTTTACAAATTGTTTTTAAGAATATTTGCTTTTTTTCTTCTCAAAGACAAATAGCTTTTTATCCTGCATATTATATACGTTTAACAAAAATAAATTTCGACCAGTACGAGAACCAAGCAGGGTGTTCCGCAAAGACCGCCCTTAGTTTGCCTTTTCAGAATCCTTATAAAAATGAAAACAAAAAAAAGCATACTTATTAATATTTAAAAAAAAAACACTATCAATCTTTAATCAATTAGCAAAAGGCGAATGTAATAAACAGCAAAATAGGTTTTATTGGCTGTTGAAACTTGAAAGTGTTTCGAATTACCGTATTTCGATTCCTCTCAGTTTCCTTTTGCAATCAAACCTGTCTTGCTTAATACTTCCCCCTTCCTGTATCGTGATTTATCAGATTTCGAGAGCTTGTTTTTTCTTCGTTTAAATATTAATTTGCGATATCCAATGTACATACTTTTTGTTTTCCTTTTTAATGAGAATTCTAAAAATACATACTAAGGGAGGTCTTTATGGAACACTAAGTATGTATAAACTTAATACGACTGCAAATGGTTAGAGAAAGTAATGGTCTCATGTTATGTTTTAGAAAATTGTCTATTTCAATGGCAAATTTAAACGTAAGGAAAAAATAAACCGGGTGTACCATAATTACTTCCCTTATTATATAATTATAGGATTGTTGAAAAAAATACACATCTTAGAGGTCACAATTCAATATAAAACGAGGAAAAAACAATCAAATCCTGCTTAGTTGCCACACGAAATTTTAAGGTGCTTCTTCTAATAAACGCCTTTTGTTATCTTCGGTAATCTAACATGTTTCACAATCGCCTTTAAAATTAATTTGTGAAACCTGATGTGCCAATTTCTTGACTTCATGTCTGACAAGGATTCAAAAATTTATAATTAGGGTGGTGATTTTAGACTACTTTGTAACGTACATCATTTAGCTTCTTAACTAAAAATATAAATTTTTTTTTAATTAAGTAATAAAGGAAAAAAACTAATAAAATTTTAAAAATAGTTTATTAAAACTACATAAAGACCAATAACAAAAACAATGAAATTTTGATTCCACTAAATTTAAAACCACTATATTTGACACCATATAATACATAACAAATTTGATACCATGCAATAAACTTTTATGAATAAATCTTAAGCAATGAGTGGTATTTTTAGTGGTATAAACAAGTTGTAATTCAAATGTGCTATTCACAAAAGAGCTGACATTCGAGAAATTCACTCACATTTATGCAGCATAGAAATATTATGAGAAATTAAATATTTGAAAAATAAATATATAATATTACCCAAATACACTATTTACAATTAAAAACGGAAATTAACTGCGAAAGAAAAAAATACTTTCATAAAAAGGAAACAGTTATACATTCACAGAATCTCATCTTAAATTATAGGAAAGACAAGTGACAATTGATTAAATATACAATGGTGAGAAGTAAATTGAAAATAAAAATTACTTATAAATTATATGAGCCTTATTAATGTGTCAATTGGTTCAATTTCTTAGATCGATTTCCGATTCTTAATAAAATTTGGTACATAGAAAAACTTTTCAAACAAACAATTTCAAATATTTTTATTATTTATCATATCTCTAGTGATAAATGTAAGGAGAGGGGGGAGGTGTAACTAGTTCTTACTTTTTTTTCCTATCATATCTGAAGGTTTTATAATTTATGATCGTTTAGTATTGTTGTTTTATTATTATGCATATTATTAAGAAAAAGATGGATGTTAAACATTATACCCAATATGTTATTAACACGTGTTGACAAAAATGTATGAATTAATTAAAGTTAGAAAAAAATCTTAAGATTTAAAAAGCAGTTACTTATTTAAATATCTTACAGAAATAATAAGTTTAATTAAATGTTTTTTAAACTATAACTTACAAATTAATTTGCATATACTCAGCAAGGTTGCTCTTTGTGCCAAATGTTATGTCGTAAGAAAAGAAAAAAATTATAATTAGTAAAGAAATAAAATTTTTTAAAGCTTTATATATACTGCTGAATCAATATATTTATAATTTATATAGATTGCTGAATCAAAATATATTTACCAAATCATATTTCAGTACATCTTTTTTGTTTGGTCTTTTACGAATACAATAATAAGAAATATTCAGAAGTTACTAAAATTAGGAGAAAACAAAAAAATTATAGTATGAAATATAAAAATAAAAATTTTTTGCATTTTCTAAAGCATTATAATTCATGCAGAATATTCATTTATATATTGAAAAACGTTCAGATAAATCGAATTCTTATATTTTTAGAACATTTATTTTGCTTGGCCTTTTACGAATATTAAAAAAGAAGAAAAAGAATAATGAGAAAAAAGTAGTAGACGGAAAAAACATTCTTCATGCTTTTATTAGTAACAAAAAGTTATAAAATACCTGCGCATGAAATTTGATGAAAAAGTACTGTTTCTGTTTACACAAAATATCTCATACATAAAAAATGCTGATGGTCGACAATTGAAAACTAAGTTACAGTTTTTTGTTGAAAACTAAGTTTTACAGTTCAAATACATGAGGAAAAAAATACTGATCAAAATAAAAAATTGACAAATATGAAACACTTATAAAGCTAAATTGCAAGAACGTATAAAAAATAAAGTTTAATACATGATAACCACCAAACATATTATTTACCATATAAAAATTTAACAACGATTAAACTATTTTATTTAGGCTGGTGTTACTGTGAATTACGATTATTTATATAGGAATTTACGTTTGAAATATTATATTATTGTGCGCAGTAGATTTGTAGNTTCAAACGTCTTTTATTAAAAAGAAAAGCACTTTTTTAAATACACATCAAATATAGAATTTTATTCGATAAATGCAAATTAATTTTCTTGTTCCTGTACATTTTTTTAACGCATACGAAAATAATGGCTTTTGCTACCACCCATCATTAATAAATTGAAACCTAATATTTTTAATAGTGAGTTGTGATAGTTATGAAGAGTAAAAACAGTAGGAATATTTACAAGAAGAATGGTGCCCTAGAAAAAATGAATTTATCTTATTTACGAAAGGTAAAGATTTGAACATATAAATGCATTATTTGAGTGGTTTCTCGAATTTATTGATATGACCGAAAAGGTTAAAAACATCTCAGTTAAAGACTTTTAAGGGAGCGTTTTTTTTCTAAATTTTAAAGAGTATTTCTCTGATTACACGGCCCACAACATGCAAGTTGTTTCTACGATCATCGCTTATGAAATAAAATTTGAGAATCCTTTTCAAAAACAAGTCACAAATCTACAGTAATAATTGCAAATTAATGCTTGAGGGAGAAAAAAAAAAGCAAAAGCGTTATCAATCAACAAAGAAGGCGAGATGAAAAATAGCAAAATTTGTTTGATTACTGAGAGGCGAAAGACTACCATTGGAAACAACTTTGTTTCATCCTGCGTATTTCCTGAATAGAGATTCCTAGGATTTTGACAGTTTTTGTCTTAGCTTAAATATTCGTTTTAGATCACTAATGTGCATATTTTTTTTTCATGAATTAAATTTTTCTAAAAAAAAAATACACAGAATACTCACTAATTACAGAACAACCTATATATACAAGAATACAACATGTCATTAATTAACTAGGGTAAACTAATAATAATAACGGTAATTTTTTGTGCTTTTGGCAGTAATAACAAATGTCCCTAATTGTATCATTTTAGTGACGTGAAAGTAGAAATATCCATCAATAAATCATTCAGTTGAGTGTTAAGTGCCAAAAGTTTATCTGTAAAAAAAAACAGGACTTAAACAAATATATTGCCAAGTACAGTGAGCAGTATAAAGCTTTATTGTGGTCAAAAGAAATCAAACCAGCGAACCTATATTTCAAGATGGATATTCCTATTTTCATATAACTTTAAATATATACCTGATGACGTCTTAATTCCTTAAAAAACAAACATAAAATAACATATAAATAAAAATTACAGTATTTTTTTATTTACCCTGGTAAAACTCTTGACGTTTAGAAAAAAATATAGTAAAATTTAGTTTTTTAAAGCATTTTTTTATTTGTTTTATTAAACCTCTGACAATGAAGAAAAAAGAATTTCCTTTTTAAATACCATTTCGGTTTTAAAATATAGAATACTGTGAAGAAAAAATTGTGATAGTGGAAGCTGTCTTAACTGTCTATGTTGTTCTAAAGATGACTAGTAAGGATGATAACGGGTCTGTGCAGAAGAGTGTGAAGAATCACGAGGATAGTGTGCCGGATAATGTCCAGGAAAAGCTGTAGACGGAGATACATAACTATGAGCTGGATAGGTCAAAGGTATAGAAGATTGTGAAGAAGACGATGGATTGAGTTGCGATGATTGCATGTATCCAACATGTATTGCTTGAGATGGTTGGATACGTTGACAGGAGGGATAAGACGACCAACTCGATCTTCCTGAATGCCTTGAAGAGCTCTGCATATGAGCCAATGGCCAATTTCTCTCACATCTATGGTAACCAGAAGTTAAAAACTCATTTGGATTTAGGTAGGAATGGTGATAAGGTCGGGAAAAAGATGGAGGAAATGTAGGCGTAAATGATGAAGTACTGTTTTGTACGCAATCCCGAGATGGCCGTTTCATACGCTTCCGTCTTCGAAAATTGTTTCCCTCAAACATATTATCATAAGTTTTATCGAATATCCAAAAACTTCCTTTCTTTTCACCACCACCTTCTCTTGGCACTCTAACAAAACATTTATTTAAACTTAGATTATGCCTAATGCTATTTCTCCATCCCTCTTTTCCATTATAATAAGGAAATTTTTGTAAAACATAGCTGTAAATTTCTTGAAGTGTTAGCTTTTGTTCTGGAGACTCTAAAATTGCTTCACGTATCATCGCTACATAAGAATATGGAGGACGATCTTGTGTGGAAGCATTACAACCACCCGATGATTGTTTAGATGTAGTCAAATTTGTTATACTCAGGTTTGCGGGTTTACTATCACTGCCATATAAATTACTAGAGTCAGTTATACTCAAGTTTGCAAGTTTAATGTCATTACAAAAAGGATTTCCGACATGAGAAACACTAAGATTAGCAGGTTTCATTTCATTATTAAACGGATCAGTCAAGTGGGTGATACTAAGATTAGAAGGTTTCAGATCTGAACTAAAGGGGTTAGAAATATGGGCAGTGTTTAAACCGGGTGGTTTCAGTTCATATTGATCTGACATGTGGGTTGAATTTGTGCTTTTTATATCTCCATCAAGAGGGGAAGTATGTAAGTTGCTGTGAGACACACTGTTTTTTATTCTAGTAGATATATCATCTTCACTATCTTCAGAAAAGTCTCTTCCTTTTCCTGTTAAATCAGTTTCGGAAGAATTGCTGTTATTTATTTGTACATGTCCTGTTTCGATAATATCAACTGGATCATTATTAACAGGACTCTCTGAGTCAGGGTGTGAGTGCTGTGTTCCTTCACTACAATCATTACTCGAATGTTTATTAGGATGAGGGTTGCCATTTGCGCTTTCAATGTCAGGATTGCAGCTCGACATATAAGATTCTCTTGTTAAATGGGGTGGTTCTAAATCATCGATTGTGGAAGAGTTTCTGCTTTCAGACAGCATTAAGCTGTAAGACACATAACTACCACTGTTTAAGTTACGTGAAGTGATATTTCTTGATCGACTGACAGCAGGATAAGGTCTTAAGCAGTCTTTGGAGTATCCTAAAAAGAATTTAAGTAGTTAAAAGTTATCTGAAATTGTGGACACATTTTATAAGCATCAACCATTAGAGGTGTTTTGCATAACAACGCAATTTCAAAACATATTATTATTTATTAAATAATCACAACAAATACTTATAGTTATAAATGCTTGGCTTGATACTGTTGCAAACACCATAAGAAAAATAGATACTCCTTTAGAAATAAAATAGATTTTCTAACCAATAAAGGCTATTATTCCATACATTGCAATACTTTATGATGGTTAAACTATAAACATTACCTAAACGTAATTTATATAAAATTATAATTATATTTGAAAGTTTCATATGCTATACAGAAACTCGAAAATTACGTTTGGTGCTTCAGTTAAGTTGCTAACCGCTTTCCAGTCACCTTCAGGCATGCATTTTTTAGAAATTAATAGTTTTGTAAATCACAACTAAATTAGATCTAAGATAAAATTTGTATATTTCAAATAAAAAAAAATTAGGAATGAAATATTTTAGCTAAATAAGCAAAAAAGTTTATGTTCGTATATCTATGCTAAGCACAGAGTCAATAAATAAAATAGTGATTTGTCCTAAGTAGGGATATTATTTTATACTTAGTCACAATTAAAATGGATTTATAACAGTAAATTTATAAAGTATTACCTAAAACGTAACTAGAATTCAAGTTATAGTGCTAACCATTTGCTTCATACATACATTTAGTGAAAATTAATAATTTTGTAAACTTCAGATAAATAAGACTGAAGACAAAATTAATATATTTCGATAATTATAAGAATAACGAATTAAAACTTTTGGCTGAATGAGCAGAAGAGTCAGTATTTCTATTTTTAGTATAAAGTTTATAACATAAATATATAAAGCTTATTTTTTAAAATCATTAACTTTTTACAAAGTCTTTTTGTAGTATAAAAAACAACATTATTTAACATTTTCCTCAATAAATATCCTACAGGTATTGATAGAGGGTTTTCTTAAGGATAAAAACTTTGGAAATTTTTTTTGTTACATGATTCAATTTATTTAGATTTATTTGTTTTTGAATCAATTGAAACCAAGAAATTTTTTTTTTCTATTTTGTAGACCAAATGTAAAAAATGTTTAACTATTTTAAATGTTTAGTTTCTCGTTTTACAATTTTATTGTAATTCTCTTACTTGCAGATGATTTTAAACCTTGCTCTTGCTTGTAGTAACTACAGTCTGGTGGATTTTCATAAAGCGTTCCGGCATCAGGTTTCGGTTGAAAGCCTAGAAAAAGTTCAAATTTCAATTTATTGACGGATTGCTGTCAAAAATTACAATTTATATTTGAATACAGTGTAAAAATGTACATTTTTTGGACAATACGATTTTCATGTTTTTTTTTAACGGAAATATTTCGTTGACATCTTAATCAAATTGAAATTTACTCACATGGCTAGAATGTTGTTTTTTTATCCATTTCTTTTTCATGGATCTATCTTTTTTTTTAATCAATAAATCAATTTTTTACAGGATAACTGAGCATATGAAAAAAAAAACTTTAGGTTGAGTTATGAGTTACAGCCTGAAGTGTAAAATGTCGTATATTAGGTTGATAAATGACTACCTCTAAAAATACAAAAATATATACTTGAGGTTACAAAATAACCTAAGGTAGAACGAGGAACACCTCAAGTTAATAAGAAATACCTTTCCAAGTGTCAAAAAATAAACTTGAGGTTGATTTACTTAACTGGCATACCAGAAGCCGGAAGTGTAAATTGGCACATTGGTAGATAAATAAATTCCTCAACCAACTTGATAAAATTCCTCAACCACTTGAGGTTGAAAAATAATAGTCTAAAATACAACATCGAACACCTCACGTTCATATAAAACAACCTATCAAACGGTCGAAAAATACACTTGAAGTTGATATATCATAATTTGATAAGTAAAATGACGCCCCTTAAGTTGATAAAAAAATACCTGTACAAGCATAAAAATATATACTTGAGGGTGATATATAATAACCTAAGGTAGAACATAAAACACCTCACGTTAGTAAAAAATTACCTTTACAACTGTCAAAAAATACACTAGAGGGAGATCCAGAATAACTGGAAATGTTAAATGAAACACCTTTGGTTGTTGAATAAATACTTTCACAGGTGTAAAAAATGCACTTCAGGTTGATAAGTAATAAACTAAGGTTGAAAACGAAACACCTAAAGTAGTAAATATCTACCGCTTCACAGATGTAAGATGAAACACCTCAGGTTGTTACATATATACCTTTGGAGGTATTCATTTGCATCCTTTTCAACCTAACGACGTATTTAAATAACAACCTCCTTTATACATTTAAAAATACCTAAATTTTTCCACAAGGGTTAAACTTAACCTGCATAAAACATCTGGGTACCTGACGCCGCTTGCGGCCCTTTTCCCATTCATCTTGAGCTTGATCTTTGTGGTGATTCGATGAGGTTGTGGAATGCAAATGAAGTAAAGGAGTATTCATGTGGATCATTGAGGTTCTGACTGTAATTATACACAGTAGGGTGATAAGACTGACTATATTGTAAAAGTATGAACTTTAGCTAAGCTGATATGATGAAAATGAGGTTATGTATATGCTATTGATATCGGGAATATGTGATGCATCACTGCAATAGTATGCTGCAATTGGTCTGATGTTCCTGTCTTCAGTTAAATTTTGAAATAGGAATATTTCATTGAAATTGGCTGTAGAGCAAGAGGTGGCTTTTTCGTAGAATTTCTTATTTAATTTAGCTATTTATTTTAAGGTCATGGTGTATTAAATCATTTCGTTCGAACCATCTGGCTTTTGTTGTCCTTCTTAATATTTCCTTCTGGCAGACTATTGATTTATTTAGTTGAGTTTGTGTTATATTTGTCAAGACTGGTGAAGTATATGTAAGGATGGGGCTTCCATAAGGGTTAAATAAGATTTCTATACTAAATCAATTTTCTACTGGTTAAAAAGTGGTATGTACTTCCAGCTTTCTCTTTTATTTCTTCAAATTATTGTTTAAGGGGAACACTTAAAAGATTTGCCAAATTGTAAACTTTGATCCACTCAATATTAATGAAATCTGTGAGTAAACCATTGCTAAAGTTCCAATGAAACAATAATTAAGAGTTTCAATTAACTAAGTTCAATTATCATATCTTCTATAAATTCAATTATCTTATCTGTCTCATAAGATACTAGCCGCCTGCGAGTACCATCTAATTCACCTACGTGTTGTTCTCCATGGTGCTCTACGGATGCATGAATTTAACGCTTCCTGAATTCAGCATTTCTCTGAATCCTCAGCATTATTAGTATTTAAAATGCTACGGGGTCACGTGATACTTACAGTCTGGTGACAGATGTAGCATTATTAGCAATGTTTATATTCACATTTCAATGCTATTTTTAAAATTGTTTTTTAATATAGAAAATAGGTTGTCGTGTTGATCTATCAGTGACGTTTACAATGTACGAAAAACATTACAGGATAAATAATGGTTTTTAATAATTGCTTTTGTTGAAGTATTTTAATTCTTGTTTCCAGAATTAATTGTATGATTTAAAACAAAATAAAGAATTGCAATCCGTTAATTGATTGATGCTTGATTCATGATTGATTCATTTATTTTTTTTTTTGTTATGAGTTTTGTGCGAACAACATTACTTATCAGTCACTAACTAATTATCGAATTCAAATGATTTCTTCTACAGGGTACGTAGGTAAATTTTTCAAAAAAAAAAAAGAAGTACCTTTTAAGAATTTTTGAAGCACTCAAAAAATATTTTTGAGTACTTAAAAAAGTATAATTAGGATATACGCGTTAATAAATTTTTTCCTTCGTATTGTTCAAAGTTTTTCATATATATATAAACAAAATGCAAAATATAATTTCAATTTCTATAGTAAAAATTGAAATGATTTAGGATATTTGTTTATGTGAGCTAGAGCATTTTTAAGATTTTGTTAATAATGATTGTAAGCACATTGTCACAGGTGACCTTAACCTAATCAGAAATAAAGATTAAGAAAAAAATATCACATAAATAGTATTCTTGCTTCAATCAGTAAGGATTTAGATTGTTTTATTGCAAAATGCTTAAGAAAATTTAATTAGCCTCTAGAGGGATTTAGTGAATGGAAAATTTTTTTTTTTTAAATGATTTTAGATTAAATTTTTTGAATTTTTTTAGATTAAATTTTTTGAATTTTTTTAGATTAAATTTCTTGATTTTTTACATAGAATACCAGGGTTTTGATTTGAGTTCTGATATTATTAAATTTATCAAGGAAATAAAATATAATTTTATTATATGTGTAGTTGACAAAGCTTCCAATAATTTTTGCTTTATTTGCGAAATTGTTTTAGACATTTAATGAGTAAAGAGTATGATAACAATAATACTTTTGTCAAAATTAATAATTCTAAAAAAGAAATTGATAATCGAATATTAGCTTTTTCCAAGAAAATAGGTTTAAAAATAAATAGCATTAACTATCCTTATTTATTTCCTACAATTAAATTCCACAAAACACCGGTTGAATTTAGATTTGTAACTTGCAGTACTGGTGTTATAATTCTGTTTTTGGTAAAAAAATTATTAATTATTTAAGCATTACTTTAAATAAAATTATTTCAAATGATAAGCATTTTATTATTAATAACAACCAAGACGTTATTAAATATTTGAATTACAATAATATTAATACTGTTCTTACATGTGATTTTGAAAATCTTTTCACAAGTATACCGCACAATAATTTAAGGAATATTTGCTTGGAAAATTTTGATAAATATTTGAATAATAAGGACATTAATAAGGAAGACTGGATAAACTTATGTAATATAAACATTTCTGAAAGTTATCTTTGTAATGGTATTTGTTTTTAAAGACAAATTCAAGGTATTTCAATGGAGAATTGTTATTCAAGTACATTTGCTAATATTTTCTTGCATTTTTATGAACAAAAATTTTTACAACATAATTTATTAATTGGATTTAGATTTATAGATAATTTAATAATTTTTGATTGTATGATTTTGATTTAATTAAAGATATTTATCCTAAAGAACTAAATTTAATTAAGACTAATTCAGATGAAAATTGCGCTTATTTTTTAGATCTAGATATCAAACTTCATAAGCAAAAAATGTTCAACGGATTATACCAGTGTTTCCCAAAGTGTGGTACGCGTACCCCCAGGGGTACGGGAACAGTTCTGCTGGGGTACGCGTTCTTCTGCGAAATGTTTTGCAACAAACGAAAATTTCAAAAACTTCTATTTAAAAACTAATCTAGCTTTATTACTTTTAAACTTTTATTTAAAAATTTACGATTACGTATTTTTCTATTGGCTATTTTTTGCTAAGTCAACAGTTAATAATTAATAGTGTCAACAGCCAGTTGTGATTTTAAACCTTTGTGTAATTTTTTTATAGTAAAAAAGCATTCTTTTTTTTATTAGTGGTACACAGAGTTACGAAAAATTAAGAAAGGGTACACAACAGTCATAAGTTTGGGAAAACACTGGATTATACGATAAAAGAAGAGATTTGATAAAAGAAGAGATTTTAAGCTTGATGTTATTAGTTTAACACACTCATTCTTAAAAATCTTAAAGTAAAGGTTGGAATTAAAATATTTTGATTGGCCAAATTATTAGATTTAAATTTATTTGAATTAATAAAACAGATTTTCTTTCAGCCATTGGGAATTTCAGGATTACATTGGAGAATAATAAATTTCCTTTTAATCACTGTAATTATGATATTTTGATTCAAAATATTTTAAAGACGTTCAAATAATAGGCCTATGAGGTGATATTTAGGATTTTATGTTCTTGAACCATATAGATGGCAGCACCTTTTTACTAGTTGAAAATGTTTTTCTGTTTTATTTTTTCAAGATTTTCAAGAAAGGGGTCAGCACTTGATATATTTCTAATGTTTCCTCATAATTTGGCAATTAATATGTTATTTTGATGTGGCTACTCTAACTGTAACTTTATCTTTATTTATTTTTCTTATTTGCGGACTTTTCTTATTTTGTGTACTTTTAAGTCATTATTAAAGACTTACTTTGTGATTGTTTGTCGTTTATTTATCATTGCATTTACATTTCAATTTTTCTAATTGCTTTTTCTTATTTGATTTTACATTATGGGGCCTCGGGGCACTGTCAGTTTTTGGTTTCACCACTGACAATAGAAAGGCTCCCGTGTGTTAGCAGGGAGTGTGTCCCCTGATGA